AAAGTTTCCTTAATACAGAAATATTAAATATTTTCTTGTTTCTACAATTCTTTGTTTGATTCTTTTTTATATTCATTTTATAACATTCTTGTGAGGTCAAAAGAATTCGTAGGTTTTGCGATTGCTAAAAGTTGATAAATTAATCCTATTTTACGGCAACTGTATATTTAGATTTGCAAAAATACTTTCTAGTTCATTAGTAGTACAAGTTGTCTGGTTGGTGATCTATGCTTTATCGGTCTTATGTAATGCTTTGTCTTTGAATATCGGCTTTCTCATTTGGCATATTTTTAACCGAAACATTAATAGTTTTCACTAACCAATTAAATAGTCTACGCTCCTGTAAAGGCAGGATAAGTTAACAATATCGCCGGACCCAAGTCGAATAAATTTCCCATAATCGTAGTAAAAAAAAAAAACGACACGATCGCATTGAACTTTCAAAGTATCAAACTTGTATGCAATACATTTTTCTGAACTTAGTTCTCAATAAAAACAATTTTAAGTGTAACTTAAAAACATATTCGCTGCAAGTCAGCAGAAATATCATTTTAAAAATACTCCAATTTGAAGCCTCAAAGAAGTTAGAAATATACAACACATAAGAACAACAACAAAAAACAAAACCACTGGTGCAGGCAACGGAAAGGTAGCTGTTGACACATACATTTGGAAATATCATTAAGACTAACTGACAATGTACAGATGATGTGCTAACAGATAAAGATTAAGCTCGTTTCTTTTAACGATCTTCATACATAACGCGTCAGTAACGATGGGTAGACGAACGACAAGGAAAAAACCCATCTATTCAAAACTAAATAATATTTCTGATTATGAGGTCTTTAAACAGAAGATCAGTGTTCTTAAGCGCAAACTGATTTTAATTTTTTTTGCAATTTTGTAAGTAACACAATTCTTTCTCAACAAATTACAGGTTTTCATATCGAATCCTTTTGCTTAGCAGCTGTTAGAAAATGTGAAGGTTTAAGTAAAAAACAGCTCCAAAAAAGAAAGAAGATAAAACTAACTAATAAGCTCAGCAACATCTACACAAAAGTGATCCTGCAACTAACCCTAAAAACATTTGATTTTTTTTTCTACCAGTCATTATGGAGAAAATGTGGTTACACAATGTAATTTTAGTGATGTCAGATTCAACACCTAAAATAATACGATATACTACCGTTTGCATGACTACACAATCAAGAGCTGAATTGAATGTATCACAACTGACACGAACAACTGTTTGCTGTTAAAATGACGCTAGAAAATAATATTCACGCCACAGCTGCGTGTGAAACCCTAATATTATGTTACTCTTTCATTTCACAACTTATTTACGTATCTTATTATACAACTATTTTTAAGCATAATTTCATAATTTGGACAAGCTTTTTTTTTTCACCAAGTAATAAATAATATTTCACGTGCGATAGCATGGTCTTTAAAGACTTTCTCTAGACTATACTTTACACAAACCAACATCTCAAAGGACTTTCCCCGAGAATTAAAGTACCAGCAATAACAATTTGAAAATTTGCTAAACTACAAATGATTTCTATGGACAATAACTTATGATGTTTAGAAATTCTTTAAGACTTCCGAAGACGGTATGTATAGTATTGGAAATATTATGGAAATTGTAAGTAAAATGGGTATACAATATAAATATTATGGAAATTGTAAGTAAAATGGGTATACAATATAAATATTATGGAAATTGTAAGTAAAATGGGTATACAATATAAATATTATGGGAATTGTAAGTAAAATGGGTATACAATATAAATATTATGGGAATTGTAAGTAAAATGGATATACAATATAAATATTATGGGATAGCTCTCCTCTATTATATGAAAATGAACAACCAAAATAGTCACGTTGTGATAGTTTATACTGTAACTCGATATCATCTAAACAATCAGACAGTGCCATATCAACATAATGCCTATAAAAGTGCAGGTAGTAATACTATTCCCAGCAGTATTATGGTGAATGCACTTACGGCTACCAGGAAAAAATGAAACCCAATTAAACATGTAGAAATCAAACTTTTGACTGCAGAAGTTTTGCTTTTGTTTATGGAATTTCGCACAAAATTACTCGATGGTTATTTGCGCAAGCCGTCTATAATATAGAAGCGATAGACTAGAAAGAAGGCAGCTAGTCAATACGACCGATCGCCAACTCTTGAGCTACTATTTACCAACGAATGGTAGGATTTACCATCATATTATAACGCACCTACGTCTGAAAGAGCGAGCATGTTAATTGATGGGATTCGAACTTGCGACCCGCAGGTTGCTAGTCGAGTGCCCTAACCACTTGGCCATGTATGGCTGGGAAAGGTTATCCCATGCGAAATATAGGAGCTGTATGGAGACTTTGAAGAGAGCACATGAAACCCGTACTGTTGATAATAAAAGAGGATGAGGTAGAAAACCCAAAGTCTTCCAAAATGATGTTAAGTTACCATTTACATGATAGACGTAAATCCAGCAGAAATCTTGCCATTGTAGGTAGAAGTGTGAATGTTACTTTCGGAACAATAACATACACATTAGAATGACGTGACCTCAATGGACGTGCAGCTGCAAAAAATACTGCTTAGGAGAGATAACCAAATCAAAAGGATGAAATAGACATCAAACTTCGAACAATTAAATGAGTAAAGCTAAAGAAAGTTGTCCTTTATAGATTAATCCAAATTGTTTGGCAATAATCAACAACATTTTGTTCATTGGCAGAGTGAAGAGTGGTATCACGTCCTACAGTTAAACATGCTGGGAGACCAAATCAAGCGTGTGGATAACATCTAAAACAACTGTACTGGAAATATGCATAAAATTGATGGTACCCTGACTGCTGATAAGTAAAATCAGATTATTATTCAGTTGAACAGGAATTCACCATCCAGAAAGACAGTGATCTCAAGTATGCAACAAATGTGGTGAAACAATACCTGGAAGGAAGTGTAGGCCGATGAAACATTTGCAACCGAGGCTTAACCTGCAAACAGTCCCAACATGAATATTAGTAAGGCTGTATGTGCTTATAAAGTAACTAAGAAGGTTAAATGGTAACCAAACAACTTAGCTAAACTGTAGGGAGTAATATGGTGCATTTGGGATAGTAGTTCACAATTTATATAAATAATACACTTGCATTTGTCTGTCTGGAACTTTTCTCGCAAATTTCTCTATCAAACACTACAAATCTTATATAGTTAGAAAAGCATTTGCCCCAGTAGTCCGAATTATATATTGGCTTTTCAATTCAGAATCACCTTACCTGTATTTTGCTTAGTCAAACTTTTCAATTCAATGAGTATGGTAGAGGATGGCTCAATGTCGTTGACATCACATGATGACTGGTTTTCATTTCAACTTTAATTTGTTACTTGCAAAGTATTTCATACAAACAACACTTAACCCACGTGAAATTTTGTAAAAAACACCATTATACTAAATACAACTTCTATGAGATATATCGACTTATTTAGATCTAAAATACGCATGTGCATTTCGTTCAAAACCATATACTTATCACTTTCAAAGGTTTCTGCATATTCAGCTAAGTTTGCCTTCATTACAACTTTACATTTATTTTACTTTGCAAGAATCTAGCTTCAGTATGTTTCATAGACTACTATAAACACCTTTTAACTACCTTTTTTTTCTCTACTTCGTGTTTTATTCTTGGTTTTTGTAAGTTTCTTTGTTTCAACTCGCAAAATAAACCGAACGCTTACATCTGTTTCATATTTTGTATACTATTATAAGTACCATTACTTTATTGTTTATTTACTGTAGTCTTATTAAATAAAGTTATGTCTAGGTGAATTTGTTTATCTTACAGCGTAAATGTTTTTCAAACAGACTAGGCATACGTGAAAATGATAGAATAAAGAAAATTCAAGTGAAAGGCATGAAAATTACCGCAAATGTTTTGCGGGTGGCGGCTACTCATACCTTAATAACATAGTGAAATAAAAGCAAGATTTACTGTTTAGCTTGAAGCAAATACCAGTGCACTGTACAACTTACTTGCTCTTATTACGTATCATCTATAATAAAGTACTAATGACCATTTAATGGCATTTACTCTACGAACGTCTATAGGTACGTTTACAAAGTTAATTCTAGATATAGATATTCGTACACGTTACTCCTAAGAAAAACAGCAACAATAACGTACAGCAGATTATCGAACTCGTAATCAGATTGGCAAATCTGTATACATTTCTTGAATACACTATTCTGAAGACTTGACTGACTGAAATGGCCTAAATTTAGTGAAAAAATATGGGTGCCGTTTTACAGACTTATTGATAGAACGAAAATATGCATACTAATCAAGAAGTGTCTATGATAAATTTACAACAAAAGTGAAATGATTAGTTACCAAAATTGTTTGTACAGTATAATGCAGGAGATTAATACATTTATTTTCGGATATACATCACAATTCAAACACTAACTAACTTTTTTTACAGGACTTAGACACAGAAAAGTGAAATGGTCATACAAAGGCCAATCGCAAAATCCAAATGATTTTCTTTCAACAAAGTTTCACAATATTTTCATAATGTTATTGGCAAGTTGCTCCTCGAAGTCGGGGGGGGGGGGATTTTTAGGCCCTGTTAATGTCTTTCTACTTCTTTCTAAATAAAAAAAAAAGTTTAGAAAACATGCAAAGTGAAACATAAAACTGAAAAAGTGGTCAAAACATCAAATATGTCTGTGCTGAAACTGTGTATCTGAATAACAGCAATGCTTTTAGTTCTTTTCCTTCAACAGGAATAACAAACCATCTTTACATTGAATATAAAACCTTTAATATTTTGTGATGGTTAAGTTTACTTTAATCTTTATATAATTATCCAAATGTAAAAGGAATTTTAATCAAAATTAGATTTTTTCCACACTATTTTTTCCAATTCCTAGAAAAAATGCGAGGTAATCATACAATTATGAGAAATAGTAATAACTTACCACTTCTTTGTCCATGGTAATAGGTGGCAGAACATCCTGGGTCCGCTGACATACATGGTTACTGGCTCGAGAAACACAAATATTGTGGAAGCACGAATGGCACCCTGTAGGGAGAGGAGGACGAGGAGTGTGTAAATGCCGACCCACTAAAAGAAACTGGGAACCGATGAGGCAAGGACAACCACAGCACCAGCGGTTGTTAACTGGAGCTGTGGCTGCTGTGCCACTGATTCCCAAGCGGCATGGTTCCCCGCATGTACAGTCATTTCTTTCACCAGTCAACATCAAGCAAGGTGGATGCATATTTCAACTAAAATCTGACTAATTGACTCACTTTCGGATAAATAAAATTGCCCCGATATATAGTTTATTTATCGTGTTTATATAGTTTATAATACTGTGCGCACACACGCACACAATGGAATACCTGTGACAATAAAAAGGTAATTCTCAGATTTTAACCTAGATGAAATATCACTGGTACAAAGTATGATAAAAGAAAATTAAGAATAAAAACAGTAAAAATGTGTCGGAGATGCTGTGAAGCAGGGTTCTTTCGGTGGGAAGATGTCTTTACTTCTTCCCTGCCTACACACTACACTCACTATTGACTACTGGAGCTACAGTCCGTAGATATCGTCAAGAGCAAGATGCATAGCAACTTCCGTGACCTCTCAGCTAACGATCATTCTCCCACAATTCTCTGCGTGTTCCTTACAAAGTGAACAAGCAACCCTACATTATGATCAAGGCTGAAAAGATCGACAGTGTAGGGGTAAAGGCACGGCCTGGAAGATAATGACGAGCGGTTGAGAGAAGAGCCGCTGGGGTTGGTTGGTATCGGCGTAGGTCTCGGTTGCTAGGCCGCCTCTGTCAAGACTGGAAAATTAGATACAGGCATGCACAGAAATTGAGAACATACAGCCGCAGAAAGGGGCTTATGTCGAAGTCAGTAACAGAACCAACATGACAAGAGAAACCAAAACTGATGCCGACAAAAAAATTAAAAAATAATGAAAAATGAGTGAAAAACTGTTGATAATTCAAAGTTACTTTTGTAAACACATCAGCTAAGTATAAGAGCAGCACATAAATTAAAATGTCTCTGCTTATATATGTATATATAACTATACAAAAGTGACTACGTCTAGTAATATGCTAATTACAGACTTTTGGTTGACAAATAATAGGAAGAGTTAAAGTAAGCAACACATATATTCCCGCATATATCATATCGTGCGACCAGCTTTACCTATCATAGAAAATTTGCTAATATGCGTTACCACCAGAAATAGACTAATCCTATCATCTCAAAGTCATACTGATTATCAAACATCTCCTAGACCTAGCTACTATGGCCATACACATGACAGCGGTTTGAATTTTTGTCACCAATATGTAATGATATTGTATGTAATTTTTATCTAATTTGCAATACTTCGAAAAAAAATAATCTTAAGCGCTAAACCACAGACATTACTTCTTTGCAACCTTATTAATCTACAAGTAAACGAGCATTAAATATGTGTTAAATTACTTGCGCCTTCTGGTGTCATTTAATAACCTCACAAAATTTATACGCTTCAAGAACTCATTATAATGTGGTTCTCTGCATGTCTTTACTTCTAATTAATATATAATAGGTAGTCAAGAAATTAATGTCGCTTTTTATTTAGATGAAAAAATCCGAACATCTTATATATATCAAAACAAAACATTTATTTAATGAAATAGCCCCAATTCTTATCGATGATGCTTTTCCATCTTACAATCGGGTTGTTAATTCTCTTATTAAAGAAATCACTTGGCTTTGAAGCAAAAAACATGTCGATGTCCTCTTTAACACCTTCCACATTTGCATACGCTTTCCCATTAAAATGGTGTTGCAAGATAGTGGTAATCTGATGGTGCCATATCTGGAGAATATGGTGGGTGGGGGAGAACTTCACAACCCAACTTCATAATCTTGTGTTGCGTCAAACGTGTCACATGTGGACGTGCATTGTCGAGTGAAGGGCTAGATTTAAACGTTCCAGTTGTTCACTATAGATCTCTGCATTAGCATTTCGCTGTGGATTGAGGAGTTCGAAATGAATTACCCCTTTGATGTCCCACCAAATGCAAAGCATCACTTTCTGTGGATGGAGTCCAGGTTTTTGGGTCGGAAGTAGTTTTGTCTAGGAGTGAGCCATTGTTTTTTGGCGTTTAATATTCTCATAGAGAATCCATTTTTCCAATTCTGTCCAAAAATGCTACACGCGCATTACGCGCCAGAAGAGACGAAGCAACATTCACACGTTGGAAACGATGATCATCAGAGTTCGTGAGGCACCCAAACACCTTCTTTATGGAGTTTTCCCCATATTTCTTAGATGTTTACGTATTGTTTGATGACAGACATGCTATTTCAGGGCCATTTCACTAGTGTGTTACCTTGAGTTAGACTCAACAAGTCTTCAGTGCATCAATATCAATTCCAACATGGCCCCTACCATCACAGTTTTTAAGGCTAAAGTCACCTGAACGAAATTTGCTGACCATCGTTGACACTTACGAACGGTCAAAACATTTCCATAAACTTTACTGATATTCTTTGTGGCTACAGAGGC